TATAATCTTTAGCCCCCCTTAGCTTATTACCCAAATTTAATATTGTAATATATAATCCACATTAAGTAAATTTGTGAACTTAACATCCACCTCCTTCTGTCATTTCACATATAATTATTAAGTAATTAACTAATTAATGACTTCACTAATTACCTCCGGTTCAAGAAGGACCAACAGGCAAATTAAATTTGGAAAATTACATTTAGCTGAATGTATCATTATGTACATAACAGTAAATGAGCATAGATAATTATTATTTATCAGTTAGACAAGTAGGAATTTGGGACACCTAGGTCGCAAAAAATGTCCCCCTTTGATACCTACCACTGTCATATCCACAAGTTGCTCTGGACCTATTAATCATAAATGAAATATACATCACCAGGAATGCTGGTAAATATATAAATTTGTGGACTGTATGTTAAAAATAATAAATTAAAATATATATATATATATATATATTTTATATATATATATAATATATATTATATATTATTATATATATATATAATTATATATATATATATATATAAATATAATATATATATATATATATATATATATATATATATATATATATATACATAATATATATATTTATACATATATATATATATATATATATATATATATGTATATATAATATATGTGGTTTAGAAAGACACGTAAGCAAAACTATAACATATTTATTAGAAAACATTTCGGTCCTGGGACCTTGATCACTTCTAACATACAGAGGTAGAAAGACATTATATATATAGGCGGAGAGTGAGATGTGACGCACGTGACCTGAGGAATGTCATAAGAACATAAGAATGGAGGAACACTGTAGAAGGCCTACTGGCCCATGCGAGGCAGGTCCTTATCAAAACAACCTCTACCTATGATGAGGACGGGTAGACGATGAAATCATGTGACTCCTGTGTTGTTGGGTTGGTGCTGCTTAAGTATCATGTATGCCAATGTTTTTGAAATTTTGTAGTTTCCAGTGTTGCGTTCTATAGTGTCGGTGACGGCGATTAGTGAGGCTTCTAGGCACCGTCGGCGTCTGAGGTCTGGTTCGGTGAGAACGAGGCACAACTCGTTCTCACCGAACCCGACCTCAGACGCCCACGGTGCCTAGAAGCCTCACTAATCGCCGTCACCGACACTATAGAACGCAACACTGGAAACTACAAAATTTCAAAAACATTGGCATACATGATACTTAAGCAGCACCAACCCAACACACAGGAGTCACATGATTTCATCGTCTACCTCCTCATCATAGGTAGAGGTTGTTTTGATAAGGACCTGCCTCGCATGGGCCAGTAGGCCTTCTACAGTGTTCCTCCATTCTTATGTTCTTATGACATTCCTCAGGTCACGTGCGTCACATCTCACTCTCCGCCTATATATATAATGTCTTTCTACCTCTGTATGTTAGAAGTGATCAAGGTCCCAGGACCGAAACGTTTTCTAATAAATATGTTATAGTGTTTGCTTACGTGTCTTTCTAAACCAACTTGTCGGTATATATTACCAAGGTTTATACCATATATATATATACATATATACATTTATACAACAGAAGGAGAATATTTTTATTTTTATTATCACACTGGCCGATTCCCACCAAGGCAGGGTGGCCCGAAAAAGAAAAACTTTCACCATCATTCACTCCATCACTGTCTTGCCAGAAGGGTGCTTTACACTACAGTTTTTAAACTGCAACATTAACACCCCTCCTTCAGAAGGAGAATATATCTTAATCATATCACTCACCAATTTGACCGGCGATTAATGTGTCATGTACAGGACCCCCCCTTTTGCCTACATTTATGAAGAATTTACTGGCCAGAAATTAAACATAATTTAGACAGCTTATCTGAGGTTTCTGGAGTTGTCCTGTCTTGTCACCTGATTCTCAAATTATGCAGGAATGCACATCCAACAATTTCGCCTCCTATTTGAGAGGTGTCAGCCCAATTTTAACCTCTAGAGCACGAAAATTCTTCCCATTATTCACAACGTGTTATTCAATTCAAACAAAATGGCGACTGTCCTCCTGCGCAGACGCAGGCTTTCCGTTTTCTATGACATAAATATTATTAAATACAGTATGGCCATCTATTTACATATAACTACTGTATTTCTGGAAAATATATACAGTATTTTCCACAACAGTGACCAGAGGGCTGGCCACATAGTTTGCATTTGGTTTAGTCTTCATCTGTGTGTCTGCCAAACTGCCAGACAAACTTGTAACCAAGCCTAAGCCTACAACATCAGTCAATTCGCATTGCAAGTTGCCCCATAAACGTACTTACCTACGTTTATGTTATCATAGTAGATGATAGATCTGTTCAGGCTTCTAAATTCATTCCTATAACATTCATTTTCATTATTTACTTCTCTCCTAATATTATTTCCAATAAGGTTATATTCTACATTCGCCTTTAGGATACTTTTCTGTCTAGTCTTTCAACTTTATTATGAAGGAGCATTCCAATGTGAGTTGGAATCCATAACAATTGTACATTAATTATTTTTTCCCTGGAATTTTTAGTATCTATACCTGGCTTCTCCAGTGAACATGTTAGTCAATTTTTGAGTCAAGAGCCTTCAGTGATGACACAGAATCATTAATAATCACAGAGTCAGGTTCAGTTTCATAAATTAACTTTAACGCCGTTAATATGGCAAAGAATTCCGTTTGCTATCCTAATTCAACATAATTCCTGTCATTATTATTTCGTGAGTAGGCTGCAAGTGGTAACAAAATGGATGGGATTTAATAAAGTTCGCGTTGTAATGTTTGGTGCATGTGTGTTGTGGTTTGAGGGAAAGGGAAAGGTATCCATGGAGTGAATGCTGGTATAGAGTTAAGGGAGATAAGAGAGAACGAAAGAATTACAGGGTAAAAAGTCTACTGAATATACTAGGTAATATCTAAGGCAAAATAGTGAGCGTCAGGTTGATTTGAAAGAAAGTAATATTGACGGCGATTGGAAATACAGAACTGTTTTTGACAGTGAAAAGATATGACGAAAATTGACAGATTGGAAAAATTGATAAAAAAGTTATTGACAGTTGGAAAGATTGAAAGTATGATTGACAGTGTTTGCCAAATATAAAATATAATTGATACTCATTACTACAGTCATTATACAAAGAAAAAATGGAGTTGTATTAAATATTTGTTGTAAAGTAAAAGGACACAAGTGCAACTGATGTGACATTTTTTATTGTGGTAACGTTTCGCTCTCCAGGAGCTTTGTCAAGCCATTTATTAAATATTTGTTGATGTAAACTATTGATTAAGTAGTAAATTATTGAAAGATGTAAGGATAATTGGAGAGTGAAGTCAACGTCTAGTACACGGGGAAGAAGAAGATTATTTTCCCGTAAAAAAAAGAGCCTTTGAAATAAAGATGGGATATCACTGTGGTTGTTTAATATATTCATAACTACAATTGTTAGATAAGTAAATGATGGTTTAGGGATAAGAAGAGATCTTTAAAATAAACAATCTTCAATAGGATAAGCTGTGCACGTTCCTGTTTTCAGATGATACAGTGCGATTAGGAGATTCCCGTAAAGAGGTTACAAAAGAATAGGAGGAGTATTTGGAAGGGTGCGTTGCATAAAGAAATTTAAAGGGAATGCAGGAAAACAAAATAAAAGGAAGGAAGGTGACAGACATAAACAAAATAAAATGGAATCTTCAGAGACTAAATAGGCAGGAAGAAATATGAAGTAAAAGTTGAAAGCAAGTAATGATAGGAGAGATGAATAAATTATAGACAGTATAAGATTATAGTGGTAACAATGATTTTATAAAATTGCGAAGAGTGTTTTTTACATGTTAAAGTGACGAGTAGATTGATAGTGATGTTTTTTTCTGTGATCAAAGGTCTGGTAGCATGTAGCTTATAATTCAAAGAGCGGAAGAGGATTATTAAAATGGTTATGTGATCTTTCCTCACTCCTCCCTTTCATCCTTCAGTTCTCCTTCTTATCCCCCTCAGCATTTGATTAACTTCCGCTCTCTCCTGCACAGATCCAGGAGCGGAACAGCAAGATTCATCGTGATGTTGTCTCGAGTCGCTGCGGTGATTGTGTTGTGCCTGGGATGTGTAACAGCTGCTCCAGGTCAGTAGTTCTAACTACCCTTCCACCTCTTTTCTGGTAGCAGACGTACTAATCAACACAACTACCCGGAATCTCTCTTCAACAACACTGCAAGCTCCTGAAATGTTGGCTGCAATACGGAAAGCATGCAGTTATCATTCAACTTCCCCTGTGAGATGTTGTATATATATATATATATATATATATATATATATATATATATATATATATATATATTATATATATATATATTATATATATATATATATATATATATATATATATAATATATATATATATATATTTGGATAACTGAAGGGTAATGAACACTTGCCACTGTTCAGTAACAGCTTCTATGGAGACAAACTCAGAAGACTAACTGATCTGCATATTTCGATCCTCTTCTGCTGAAGAGGGTCCCAGAAGGGGATCGAAATATACCGATCAATTAATCTTCTGAGCTTCTGTCTCCATGTGAACTATTATTGAACATATTATATATGCATGTATATATTTATTATTTATAAGATGCTCCTAGAATCGTGGTATCCTCCTCCGGCCAACAAAATTACCTTTGAAATGTCAGATGGGCAAGGCACCGTGTTAGCCACCCTATCCTAGTATGGTCCACTCATCCCAGAGGGTTATGACTAACCACATTTCTAGCTGGCTAAGATGATGTACAGGAAAGTGGTTTAGCATGGCAAGTGTCAAACGCAAGACGAAGTCCCCATAACAGAACTCTGAATGAGCTGCATCTTCTAAAACACTCGCCTGTTGCTCAAAGCGTCAGGTATATAATTGTGGTGAGAAATGTTTCTTATAAATGAAGCCTGGAAGTTTTTTTTTAAATCCCCTCTATGGGTATTACATATCACAGGTTGTAACAGGAGTTTTTAATTTCATTAGACTGCTTTACAATAATGAAAAAGTTCATGGCTATTTACTTCAGATGAAACACTAAATCCGTATGAGTCGTACAGTGCCTGGAAAAGGAGAAGGGGTTAATGGTAATCAGGCTTATACCGAGGGAAAGGGGCAGCGTTAATTCTTTTGATCGAGAGTCCATTATCAGCTTCAAGACATCCCTTTTGAAGGGTGACTTTTGTTAATGCTTGTGAGCCACAAAATATTCAACCCGCGGTCCTTCAACAGCCAGCCTCGTGGGCCAGATGACTCCGCGAGGGTGCAGATGGACTACTCTCCCCTAGACCACTCAGACCACTCTGCCCTAGACCACTCCGCCCTAAACCACTACCCTAGACCACTCTCCCCCTGACCACTCAGACCAAACCATACCCCCGGCCGGGATTGAACCCGCGGTCATAGTCTCAAAACTCCAGACCGCGGGTTCAATCCCGGCCGGGGGTATGGTTTGTTTGCAATCGTGTCATTACGATTTCTTGAGTCACTCAGACCACTCTGCCCTAGACCACTCCGCCCTAAACCACTGCCCTAGACCACTCTCCCATAGACCACTGAGACCACTCTGCTATAGACCATTAAGATAAAAGCACCAAAAGGAGGATATTTATTTAATCCATCGGTTGTTGTGCTAAAAATATCTTTTTCTCAGTAATCGGTGTCACTCAGATTTGAGAGTAAGAATTTCTAGGCTCCTCTTGATTGTCAGTGCAAACTGCGATTTCAACGTTTTCTCAAACTTAAACTGGATAAAGGATTGAAGGGTTGTCTATTTAGTGAACAAAATTTGATTTTATATGAGAAATGATTTAAATTTCTAAATATTATAAAAACATAACTAAGCGCTAAAGCCACGAGTTGTCATACAGCATCGCCGAAGCCAAAGTGAGAGACTAAGCTTTCGAATGAATTAACAGGGCGTTTATAATGAATTTACTCTAGTTTCTTGAAATGAAGATTATAGACTTGGAGTCTTATTTGAAGACTGCGAGCGGTGTAAATGTCACTGATTTTTGTTGTTGAGGGTGGCGAGAGTGCGAGCAATGTTTTATACAGAATATGTACCGTGAATGGCATTGTGTGCGATTTAAGTACGATATACATGTATAGTGAGTGTGTGTGTGTGTGTGTGTATACATACTAACATACACACAGCGTTTCTATGCGCACATACACAAGCGGTCATGTGGTAAAAGCATACTGGTCACCTTTCCCTTGCAGGGCCCAAGGACGACAGCCTGAACCACTATATGGATCTGGTGATGGACAACGTTCAAGTCCTCATCATTGAGAACGGCTTCGACCCAACACCTTTGCCCAACGCTTCCGTGGGCTTCAGTGATGTGGTGAGTCAAGATGCAAGGTTAAAACATTGTGCGGCTTGTGGGAGTCATAGTGAGATATGCCAAGAGCTGGCTTCCGTAAGGTACAGAGGTTTCTCGGGCGTGTGCTAGGCTTCCTTTCGGAATGAGGGCTTTCGGAGGGTTGTCCTGTATTCTATAAGAACTACAGTAGGTAGTTCTCTTTGGACTCAAAAGATATATTTTAACTTTTCAGAATATAAGATGGCTTCATTAGCTTTCTTGCAGCATATTTTAGATTTGTAAGAGGTGTGCTATACTTCCAGTCAAATAAAGACCCTGAAGCTGGAACTCAACTCTCACAAAAGAAAAATGACGAGATGATGAGAGAAAATATAAGTGTTATCCTTCCACACACACACACACACACACACACACACACACACACACACACACACACACACACACACACACACACACACACACACACACACACACACACACAGTTTTAAGATGAGGTATGATACAGCTCATTTAGCAGGGGGAGAGAGAGGACCCAGTAGCGACTAGTGAAGAGCTTAAAGGGTCAGGAGCCATGAATCGACCCCTGCAACCACAATTAGGTGATTACACAGAAGCCAGGAGCTGAGGCTCGACCCTTGCAACCATATATAGTCGAGTATGCTACACACAAACGGAACAAAAACGAGAAAAATGTTTTTTTTTCCTGTTATTGTAGCCTAATGGTAGACACCATTCTGCACATACTCAAAAAGGCCCAAGTTTGATTGCCCGGTGTAATGAAACACGTTTCCCTATGAACTCAGATTATGTTGTAATAAACGGTTGTCACTGAATAAACAGAAGGATGGATGAGAGGCTCGAACCGTGGTCCCAGAACTGACAGGTCCATCTCTCTACCGCCTCGGGTACCGGGCTTCTCATAGGGGAGATACAGAACTATTACTTACTGTACTATATTGTGTCAAAGGCACCTACTGTAACCCAACTGAATTCCTCCCTTCAGCCCAGGAGTTTCAGCAGTAAATCTGTTACCTCCCTCAAGGCCATATCGTCTAAGAACTCAGAGTCGTAATAAACAGCAGTCCATGAATAAACAAAAAGATTGACGAGAGGCTCGAACCGTGGTCCAAGTCCTAGATGTTAACTGTAATAAGTTATACTTGACATTTTACGAAGTTGTCTAGGGTTACATAACCCTTAATGTGTGTTATATTCTATAACTTCAGTTCCCCTCAAGGGAGGTTCCTTGACGTTGGTGAGGGGCTCTTGATCTAGGGAATTGGATCTGTGCTCCAGTTCCCTGAATTGAGCCTGAATACCTTCCATCCCTCCCCCCCCACATGCGTTGTATAATCCTAAGGGTTTAGCGCTCCCACATGATTATAATAATAATAATAATATAACTTCAGTTCCTTCTTAGAGGACGGGAGGATCGAGCCTCTTTTACTGTGCTAAATAATCCTTACGGGCTCAGCGCTTCATAAATATAATAATGACGATGATGATGATAATAATAATAATAATAATAATAATAATAATAATAATAATAATAATAATAATAATAATAATAATAATAATAATAATAATAATAATAATAATAATACTTTGAAGACTGGTGTGCTGCAGCTCAGAGTTGTTCTCAGGTGCTGGGAGTGACGTGGCACGGCGAGGCTGACATGTATAATGGTTGGCTACGAGGTCTCGCCACCATCCACCGCTCAGGCGACGCTGAGTTCCTGCGAGACGGAAACGACGTCGTCAACGGTATATCTGCTACTCTGAGCGTCGGGGAGATGAAGGTAGATTGGTGTTTGTTGTGTGTGTGTGAGAGTGGTATGGGGCAGGACCTTGAGTGTGAGCAGGGTATGAGACAGGACCTCGAATGTGAGCAGGGCATGAGGCAGGACCTCGAGTGTGAGCAGGTATGAGACAGGACTTCCAGTTTGAGCAGGGAAGGAGGCAGGACCTCGAGTGTGAGCAGGTATGAGACAGGACCTCCAGTTTGAGCAGGGAAGGAGGCAGGACCTCGAGTGTGAGCTGGGTATGAGACAAGCCTTTGTGTGTGGGCGGGATATAGCGCAGCCAGTCCACATTTTTCTTTGAAACTTTAGGCTTCATACTTTCAGCACTAGTGTACGAGAAAAAGGTTCTGATGGTTATTGCAATGTATATGAACCAATCTGCCAATTTTGTTTTTCAAATGTTGAGTTGTTTTCCTTGGAATAACTTGAGCATACCTCGTTTGAACGACTTCAGATTTTAGTGGCTAATACATTTTATGAAATGGCTGACACCTTTTGACTTTTGCAGCAACTGAAGACTGTCTCTTCTTAACAACTTCAAAGAAAACTTAACACTAATTTTGGGTTGTGTAACTTGTTATTTACTAATTTTAAGAAATATGTTTATTCTCACGTAATTACTCAAGAATGACTTCCGATCAACTAGTGTTACAGGATAACTTTAAGGGATAGTACAGCAACCCGAAACAAAATTCGGTTTACTTTGTTTTTCTGTCTACACTCGGGTTTTTCTCAATTCATTGACAAGTGTCCACCACACGTTCATGTTTCTCAATAGATGATCATGCATAGACCATTATAACTATGTATAAATTGCTATGTGTAGATCACTATGGGCTCCAACCTACATGACAATCGCATATAAGTCTTCGTTCCTTCCACAGGGCCACTATGTCTTATTGGCGCAGTTCATGGACCTGGGGCCCATCGCTGACCTGGTGATGGACATTAACGGTGCCGATATCTACTTCGAGGCCTCCCTTGACCGCTCCAGGTGTCGTTTCCACGTCACTATTATGGAAGTTACCCATATCGGGTAAGTGTTAGGCGGTTGATGTTGGTGTTTCCTGAGACTATGCTGATGGGATTCCTGAGTCTATGTGGTGCTCCATCAAGTTATGGTACAGGTGTTCCATTAGATTCTAGCAATGGTGTTTCCAGAGCATATGGCCGCGATGTCCCTTAGACCAAGGTGGTGACAGTCCCAAAGATTTTAGTTGTGCTCCTTCAGACCATGGTGATGGAGCTCCATCAGACTGGTGGTGGTGGTGGAGCTCCATCAGACTGGTGATGGAGGTCTAACAGATAATAATAGTTATATCAAACTATGATTTGGGCGTATCCTCAGACTATGCTGAAAATCCTATAAGACTCAGCAACGAACTACGTATTTACGTCTTATACACAATTTGGAAATAGAAGTTGGCCGACATTTCGGTCCGCCCTGATTTTTCCTTGCGACTCATCAATGGTCCAGGACGGACCGAAACGTCGTTTAATTTCTTCTCCAATTTGTGGGTCAGTTATCAATTATTCCAGCCAGGGTACTGTGACTTTTATCATGAAATAATTTTGTTTTCTCGTGACGGTTCTTCGCCTTCATTGAAAACTATTCGTAAATTAACCTCAAGAATGTCCTGCAAATGTATTAGTGTGTAAAAGCTATGTTAGAAGTGCATCATTTGTCCTTACACAATATCTCTGTACAGTCCAGCTCAAACACTGTTCCAAACGCACCAGCATGGTTGCGTATAGGAGCGGAACTTGTTCATATATACATGAACTGACTTGCGTTCGAAAACAAACGATGTTATTATGAGGACTGGTTGGTGAGGTACGCACTATTGCTATCTTACGAACACCCTATCGTGGCACACATTCATCTTACTAGCACATAGGTAGTGTGGCACACACTAACCTTGGTATCTTTCTTTCTGACACATTTTGGTACAAACTCATCTTAATATCAGCTTACAGACAAGCTACTGTAGTACTCACTGACTTTGATAACATACATGGTGGGCACACTATTTTGGTGAGTTGTAACCTTGATATCTTCTTACAGACACATCTCTGTTATATAATAACTTAGGTATGTACTCACAGACAGTGCTGTAGTGCACACTACTCTTAGTATCTTCCTATAGATACACTACTGTCAATTACACTAACCTTGGTATCAGATACACTTTTATGGTACACACTTATTTTGGTATAATTTTACAGAGACGCTACTGAGGTCAACACAGACACGCTATTGTAGTACATATTAACTCCATGTCTTCCTACAGAAGCATCAGCGTCGACATCACTGGACTGGGACTTCTGGATTGGATCGTGGAAATAGTTGTTGACTTCGTAGTTAACCTCGTGAGGTCCTTCATCAAAGACATCATTGAGGGGGTCGTGCAGGATCTCACCAACGAGGTCCTGGACGACATTGACTTGAGTATACTGGGTCCCATCATTGGCTGTGACCGAGCTAACCCCTTCATACAACCTGGCCGTCCAGTTGTTTCATGAGGCGTCTTAGGCCCACTCTGACGTCATCTTGGGCTTTCTGCAAAGTCGTGATGAATGTGAGGTCACCTTGTGCCCATTGCGATGTTATTTACTGCCTACTATGAAAAGTAGATGCATTGAAGCTGACAGTAAAGTCTAGGAAATAAGGTGTTTTCTTTTACTACTTTTAGTTTTAATAATATTTTGGTAAAAAGTTAAAGACAACAGTTGTGATTGTGGTAACAATAGTCATGATTATGGTGACAATATTCGTGGTGGCTGGGAGAGTACTCATGATGTGTGGTGAGTGTTAGGTGGATAAGAGGTGGTGATGGTGAGGAGGGAGGGGGTGATGGGAGTTAGCATCCTCACTTACACTTACACACACACACACACACACATACACACACACACACACACACACACACACACACACACACACACACACACACACACACACACACACACACACACACACACACACACACACACACACGCACACACACACACTATCGCCTTGTTATCACACAGAATGTTGAATTTCCCAGCGGGACAACAGAGGCTTCAGTGATAATGTTCCCCTTGTTATTGGTTGTCCAGCGGTAAACATGTACGTATATCAGAATCACTGCCGTATATCTTTGGAATGTTTTATACTTGGTATAAGTTACATAAGCTTATACAGTATCATGAACACACTCACACGGGACCAGGAGCTGTGAATCGACCCCTGCAACTATATATATTCGAATACGCACATATTTAGGAGGCAAAAGGAAGATGGGCATATAGTGATCCAATATTTAAAAAAAAAATAACAGGAAAGGAAGACCAACCTATAGCCCTGTTGCATTGATTAGTGTTATAAAAATATTGGAAACTATCATTAAGAGAAAACTTGAACAAACACACAGAAGGAAAATCTACAGATAAACAATTAGATTCTCGGTCTGCAAACTGAGGTATTTGAAATCTGTTTAGTTATTATGATAGCCACGGAAGGTAAAGTTAGGAATCATAAACCTAACCTTGTAAAACCCTGTGTAAAAAAAAAGTGCTTAAGAAAGAAATGGATGAGCGGATTGTGTTTATCTGAACTTGAGACTCCCATGACAGAATTGTTGGGAAATGGAAAAATATTGAGGAAGGGGGCAAGGGGAAGCAAATTGTCACTTGAATATCATACAAACGATATTGTGAGAAACTCTTATGTTAAACTAGCGAATTGTAATATAACTTATATATGAAAGGATGGAGAAATGGTAAAACAAAAAGTTGTATGCAACATGTATTGATCTTATAATGCTCAAACCTAAAAAATACATGGATAGGTTTGTTGACGAAGAGTTGAAAACCAAAGATGTCGACGCTGGCTGAAAGGAGGAAAACGGGAGATATATTATCCATATTTAAATTCATTAAAAGGTATGAAAGAATAAAAAGATTTGTTGGAGTTTGCAACAGGGATAACAAAAAGTTACAGTTGCAAATTGAGGGAAAGTGGAACCAAAGGGATGTTAGACAAATTTTCTTCGCAGTGTGGTTAACTACTGGAATGATTTAAATGAGGCGGTAGGCGCTACAACAGTGAAAATTTAAACAGATTACATAATGAATAAATAAAGAGAACTTCAAAAACACAGTTGAGCTCTTATAGCTGTAAATAGATTGCTCATTGAATCTTATTAGGCCCGTCATAGTACAGTGGATAACACACTGTCTGCTCGTTCAATGCATTGCTTGCATTCATTTCATTACGATTTCGCTAGATTACACACACAACGTAGCGTAGTTGTACAGCTACCAAGTGAAACGCTCAGGATCGAAACTTGGGCAGGGCGATACGTATAGGAAAGTCTCCAAATACTTGCTGCACTTTAGTCACCGAATTGTGTTTGGGGAGGACCGACTTTGTTCATGCCTCCGCTTCAAAAATTAGCCTCCTGAGCTATACAATACCTACTTTTGAAACTGTGTAAGCCGTCCGCCTCCTCTATAAGCTCATTCTTCTCATGTGCCATCCTGTTACCGGAGGTGTCCCGTAGCTCGATCGCTAGCGCAGCTCATACACTGAGGTCCGGAGATCGAATCCCCGGTACGGCTGGAAAACATTAGGACGTGTTTCCTTAACACACCTGCTGTCCATGTTCACCCATGAGTATAAAATGGGTACCTGGGTGTTAGTCGACTGGTGTGGGTAGCATCCTGGGACAAAATAGACCTAATTTTCCCATATTGATCTGTATAACAAGCGGCTTTCTATATAATGGTATGTCATTGATGTCAGCGAGGACTGTATACCTTGTACATGTACTTGTAGAAATAAAGATATTATTATTGCATTATGACCCATGAAATTGTAATAACAAGATTGCAAACAATCGAACCCAGAGCAGTCGAGTCCTGGGACCCCACTGGCCTGAGACTCGTGCTAGGACTCCCCGCCATGGGTTCTAAGCTAACCCGTTCTGTGAGCTATTACCTTGCAGTAAATAAAACCTAGAAGTTAGTCGGTTGTTGTGGGTCGCAGCCTAGGAGTAGGACCGAGAAAAGACGGAAATAAACCACACTGCTTGGGTTTCTATTCGCGTAGCTACTAATAGCAACAGAGTAAGTAAGTAAGTTTATTCAGGTATACACAAATACAGTTACATAGAATTATCATACATAGCAGCATATGTGTAGAGAACCTGGGATAACCCAAAAAAGTCAGACAGAGTGACTTATTTCCATTGGGGTCCTTTTACCTTATTATTATAATATAAAGGTTATAATATTTTCTTATTATTCTACAATGAAGATAACATCTTATTATCATACTAAAAAGACTATCTACTACACGAGGGTCGTTAAGACTATCTACAATACGAGGGTCATTACTAGGAATAAGGTAAAATTTACACGTATGTTAGCTAAAAGTAGAAATCATTCCCCTCCCTTTCTGTAGCTACATTCATCAGACAACTTTTGGCAGTCTTCTTGAACTGGTTCATGCTATGACTGGCTTAGACATGTGCGGGCAGTTTGTTCCATTCCTTTATTGCTGTACATTAAAAGGTGTTTGAAGCCTGGCCACTGACTGTGTGTACTACAAAGTTGTGCTCTCTGCCCCTAGTTGGTTCCCAACCTTGACAAAATTGACAGCAAGATATTCTGGACACTGTTTGTTAGCAATTTTATAAACATGATTTAGCTTCAGTTGTTTTACTCTGTCTTCAACATTCAGCATATCCAACTGCTGTAATTCGACTCCAGGCTGAGGGACTGATTACCTTAAACTCCTCCTCTCCTTACACCTTTCTACTTTGTATTGGGCTGATGAAGCCACTGTGTGGCGAAACGATTCCTGAATAAAGATTCCCATATGTTGCATAAGTGTCTCAATCTTCAACTTGTCGGTTTTTCAAACCATTCATCATATCACTGCTGTAATTCATTCTGGCCTACATGCTCTCTTGGTCCCAGCCCCAGGATGAATCTTACGATTTTGTTCTGGGTGATCTGCAGTCTATCTTTCAGTTTTTTTCTCAAGGCAAAGTACCATGAAGAGACTTCTTATAAGGCACCCTGTCCTCATTTTACTGTGTTGATTAAAGAATAAAAAAGACAGAATACCGTGGCTGGAACAGTTCACCAAAAACCCACATTAAGGAGAGGAATTATCAGATAAGTAAGTTTATCTAGTTACAGGTACACATTAGTACAGTTACATTATCATACATAGCAGCATATGTGAAGGTTTCTTCCCTATATACGAGTCTTTGGTGACTTGAGTTGATTGTTCGACAAGTCGCACCACCTCATTTTCCTAGTGCTTCCCCTAAGCATATTAACATGTTAGGTAAGGTTCGTCAGGAAACAGGGCAAGTGTTTCCTGACTCGGGTCTTAGATGATGACCCGCCGTTGGAGCTTTTGATCATCTGACCGAGGCCTTCTACTGGCTTACCGGTCCACCCTTTTAAACATTATGGTCACAGTTATAACCATTTCTGTTTTTCATTAAGATATAAACACTATTTTCTTTATTTTAAATTTGGTTAGGCTAAGTTGCTTTAGATAATGTTAGGGTAGGCTAAGTCAAGTTGCGTTTGATTACGTTACAATGGGTATGAGAGGCTGTATTACCCTTGCGGGTTTAGCGTTTCTCCCTGAATGTGATGATAATGTAATAAATAGATTTTGGTTACCAGGCTAGGTGCGAAAAAGATGAATTTACAACCTTTTATTAGTAAAATTAGATACACCAAATTGCGTGGATAATTTACCTGGAGTTTACCTGGAGAGAGTTCCGGGGGTCAACGCCCCCGCGGCCCGGTCTGAGACCAGGCCTCCTGGTGGATCAGAGCCTGATCAACCAGGCTGTTGCTGCTGGCTGCACGCAAACCAACATACGAGCCACAGCCCGGCTGATCCGGAACTGACTTTAGGTGCTTGTCCAGTGCCAGCTTGAAGACTGCCAGGGGTCTGTTGGTAATCCCCCTTATGTGTGCTGGGAGGCAGTTGAACAGTCTCGGGCCCCTGACACTTATTGTATGGTCTCTTAACGTGCTAGTGACACCCCTGCTTTTCATTGGGGGGATGGTGCATCGTCTGCCAAGTCTTTTGCTTTCGTAATGAGTGATTTTCGTGTGCAAGTTCGGTACTAGTCCCTCTAGGATTTTCCAGGTGTATATAATCATGTATCTCTCCCTCCTGCGTTCCAGGGAATACAGGTTTAGGAAACCTCAAGCGCTCCCAATAATTGAGGTGTTTTATCTCCGTTAAAGCGCGCCGTGAAAGTTCTCTGTACATTTTCTAGGTCGGCAATTTCACCTGCCTTGAAAGGGGCTTTAGTGTGCAGCAATATTCCAGCCTAATAGAACAAGTGACCTGAAGAGTGTCATCATGGGCTTGGCCTCCCTGTTTTGAAGGTTCTCATTATCCATCCTGTCATTTTTCTAGCAGATGCGATTGATACAATGTTATGGTCCTTGAAGGTGAGATCCTCCGACATGATCACTCCCAGGTCTTTGACGTTGGTGTTTCGCTCTATTTTGTGGCCAGAATTTGTTTTGTACTCTGATGAAGATTTAATTTCCTCATGTTTACCATATCTGAGTAATTGAAATTTCTCATCGTTGAACTTCATATTGTTTTCTGCAGCCCACTGAAAGATTTGGTTGATGT